TCAGATACTCATTAAGGGGTTTCAATAAACATTAAGTACTTTCATAAATTTACTAAAGGGTTAAATTTTAAACATTTAAAGCCTTGGTTTCTTTGAACACTTCGTCGCGGTGAGCGGACAGTCCGTCAACCGTCGCGTTTTGACGATTTTATCCAGCCAGAGTATTTAAATGGGAATGGTTTTCTTGAAACCGCTTAGCTGAGCAGGACGGCGTCATGCCGCTGATTTGTCACGAAGAGTCGGTTGATATCTGTTGAGTTTGATATCAGCGGAATCGTCGGCGTGTGCGGAGACTATATTGTTATTAATTTTAAAACAATGAGTGACAAATTCACACATACAGATGACATCATGACTTTATTTTTAGGTTTCTTGGAAATTATGTCCTTTATAAAACTCAACACGAATTTAAAAAATCTGTAGAAAGTCTAAAATACTCCCTAAATTTGGTTTCATTTCCAAAAAGCCTCCGCTGCACAGTGATATTAAAGACACCTTCTGTATCGCGACACAAAAACAACTCATCCACTGGCTTATTGGAAACTTTGATGGTTGCAATTGCCAGTTCCTCTTATTCTTCCTCTTCCAACAATAATAACAACGCAAACAATTTATTTGCATCCATTTTAGTACCTTTCGTTTACATTCATAATACATAAACAGCACGTACATATATAGAGAAAGTATCACTTTCTATATTTTCTAACAAACCACCTCGGGCGAAAATTGCTGTCCTCAGCGGTCGACGGACTGTCCGCTCACCGCGACGGAGTGTTCAAAGAAACCAAGGCTTTAGGTAAATAAGAAGAAAATAGGCATTGTTGCTAACGAAATTTTGTTTTTAAAAGTAGTTTAAAAAGATTATTACTAAAGGTGATTTTTAGCCCTTTTTGGTAGATAAATAATAAGTAAAGTTGCTAGAGAAATTTTATTTTTATGAGACATTTTTATAAGAACAAAATTTCAAAGTTTATCTTATTTGCGGTCAAATCGGATTGTGACATTTGAATGTTAAGTCTTTTAACAAATTAAAACGCACAATATAATCTAGTATAAGCAAAAAAAATACTAAAGTTATTTTTAGTTAGTTAAGGTTAGTCACATTGTTAATAAAATGTTACATTAAAAAACCCCTAAACAACTCGAAAAAAAAAGTTTACTAAAAAATCTAAATTATGCAATATTTATTACTTATTATGCAATGGAATGGGGTTTTAAAAAAAACGGGATCAATAAAAATGCGAATCTCTAAATTTGCTCGGATAAAAGCAAGCGACCCACAGGGGTTACAAAAATAATTGATTATCCGTTATAATTAATCGATTATGTTCGATTAATCGAATATTTTCGTTAAATTATTTTCGTTTTCAAAGATTATGGAAAAATAGATTTTAAAGGAAATACAAAAAGAAAAGTCGATTTATCGTTTAATCGTCTTTTTTAATTAATCGATTATTTTTTATTTGAGTAATTTCTTTTAAATGAAATACGAAGAAAATATATTTGAAAATAACAGATTGATCGAATATAATCGGTTATTTTATATAATCGATATTTCGGTAATTTTTTTAGAATTATCGGTTAATCGGCTTTTTGATTAATCGATTATTTTCGATTTATCGATAATTTTCGATTTTTCGATTGTTTTCGATTTTTAGAAGAAAATCGAATCAATTTTAAACAAAATACCAAAAAAATAGATTATTTGAAAATAATCGATATTTCAGTTATTTATTTTTGGAAAATCGAATTACCGTAAATCGGCTTCCTAATTAATCGATTATTTTCAAATAATTGATTATTTGCGATATTCAAATAATCGATTTTAAAGGAAATACGAAAAAAATTATTATTTGATAATAATCGATTATTTAAAATATTAGATAATTCTGTTTTTTTTTTTTTAATCGATATAAAGGTTAATCGGCTTTTTAATAAATAAATTATTTTTGATTAATCGATTATTTTCGATTTTTAAAAAGATTATCGAATAATCTATTTAAAAGGAAATAAGAACAAAAACTTAATTATTTAAAATGTTCGATAATTCGTTTATTATTTTTTTGGAAACACCGATTTATAGATTAATCGGTTTTTAATTAATCGATTATTTTAGATTTTTTTAAAGATAATCGAATAATCAATTTTAAAGGAAATACCACAAAATAGATAATTTAAAAATAATCGATAATTCCGTTATTTTTTTGTTGAAACATGATTTATCGTAGAATCGGTTTCTTAATTAATTTTCGATTATTCGATTATTTTCGATTAATCGATTATTTTCGAATAATCGATTATTTTCGATTAATCGATTATTTTCGATTATTCGATTATTTTCGATAAATCGATTATTTTCGATTATTCGATTATTTTCGATAAATCGATTATTTTCGATTAATCGATTATTTTCAATTAATCGATTATTTTCGATTAATCGATTAATCGATTATTTTCGATTAATCGATTATTTTCGATTAATCGATTATTTTCGATTAATCGATTATTTTTGGTATTCTAAGATAATCGAATAATCGATTTTAAAGGAAATACGAAAAAATAGATTATTTGATAATAATTAATTATTTGAATTAATCGATAATTCTGTTTTTGTGTGTGTGTGTGTGTGTGTGTGTGTGTGTGTGTGTGTGTGTGTGTGTGTGTGTGTGTGTATGTGTGTGCGTGTGTGCGTGTGTGCGTGTGTGCGTGTGTGCATGTGTGCATGTGTGCGTGTGTGCGTGTGTGCGTGTGTGCGTGTGTGCGTGTGTGCGTGTGTGCGTGTGTGCGTGTGTGCGTGTGTGCGTGTGTGCATGTGTCTGATTGGGGTGATGCGCACGGCAGCCGAACCACGCGTTTTTACCGTTATTTTCGCCGCTTAATTAAAATTATAAGGGTTGTTGGTACAGTTCCGGGAGGTAGGACTTTTTTTTAGGAAATTTCCTGCTCTTTAAGTGTCTTTTTTCAAATTTCGATTATCTCAAATAGTTTTTGAAATATTTCAAAAAAACCAAACCCTTATTTTTTATTTTACTTTATTGTTTATAACTTTTGCATTTTTTTTTTTAGCCCCTCTTGTAATTTTAATAGAATGTTTTAGATGCCATTCCGAATCGAATGAGCCCAAAATCATAATTTTCGGTGCTGGAGGACAGGTTTCGAGGGAAATGGCACTTGTGAACCAGACTAAATTTATTACCGACTGAATAAGTTTTTGACAATTTCTAATTGTAACATTTACTTAAAAATAAATACCAATAGCAACTAATCATAGGCTCACTCCATTATAAAACCAACTTTATTCCAAGTTAATTATATTTTTAAGTTGACTTTGAAACTCCAATATTGACAGTATTTATTACTAACGTCATTTATTTTTAAAAAAGTCTAGCCAGTTTTTTAATAAGATCTCCAGTCGTGAATAAGAGAAGTATTTCGAGTGTTACCTTAAAAATGCGAGTTGGACATTTAAAAACCACCTTTAGACTTCCATAATACTTTTTCTAATTAAATAAAATCTGTCAAAATAACACTTATTAAACTTAGAGTAAAGTAGGTATTATGTGAAGTTTTCGGTTGTCATTTTTATTTACCTTTTCACTGAATCTAAAATGCGCATTAGGTATTGTCAAAAACTTATTCATAGCTGGTTAAATTCCAATTACCAATTAACAGTCTATTTTCTATTAACCAGTAACCAGTTAAAATTAAAGTATTTTGTGAATTATCTTTTTCTTATTAAAATTTAAAAATCTTTCAAAACTAATAACTTTAGGTATAGGGAATGCTTAACTCAAATGAAACTTTAATTAAGGTATTGTTAAATGGCAATATAAAATACAGGTCAATTTAAAAAAAAAAGATAAAATTATGTATTTGAGTTTTGACTCACCCTGTACAGAGCTGTTTTGAATTGAAAACGTAGTGCACCGGCATAAAATTTTGACTAATATCCAAAAACTTTTAAAGGAAAAAAATAGGTTTTCAATCGGTTTTTTTTTGCAGTCATTGAAATTAATTTGATTTTCATAAAAAAACTGGTTATAGTGTGGGCAATACCCTGTATAATCTTATACCAGTTTGTATTGTTATAATGGGAAAAGCATGGGCAATTCAAATATAAAATAAAATTTAAAAAACCTAACTTTGGTATGTATCACTTTTTTTTTGAGAACCCTGCATAATTAAAATTATTTTTAAATTGTTGTATTTTCTGATATATGTACATCTTGCTATAAAAACAGATTTTAAAAAATAAAATAGTTTTGGTCCTACAGACTAAGGCGTTACCGGTGGTCCACCCTGTATATAGAATGATAAATATGACAGATGATGAAAATCCCCAAGCGTCATTAAATAGTGTATACAATATACAAAAAAACTTTATTCAGGTTAATTTTGAATACAACCCATAACTGAGCCACAAATAGGGTGTTCCGCCAATTTTGCACAACCCTATATAAGTAATCATAACAAATACGATAACTAACTCCATACATGCATTATTCATTCATGAGTTGTTGAGAAATTTATTTTACGACAAAGGAATTTGTGCAATTTAATATTTTTTTTTTTATTAACTATTGAGAAAATGGTATTTATTTAGGTTTTTTGTTTTCTCTCTACCTCACCAACACTTCTGTAAAAGATTGGCAGGTCCTTTGAGACGTCCTGTATAATTTAACAGTACCCCAGAACTTTGAAGGAACCATATAAATTCAGAAAAGTCTATTATATATTAAATTCCCATTAGATCAAATAAACCTATTAAAACTAAAAACTGAAATATTTTTTTATACTTTCGTCAATAATTTTTGACTTGGTTTCTGGGATTTTTTATGTCCTGGGTTTTTCTAATTATTATCTGTTTACTTTTATATTTCGAGCCATTTTCAAGAAGTCATTTTCCAAATTTCTGTTAAATTTATGGAAGCGTTTCCGTTTGAGCGTGCGCTTAGCTTCCGTATTTAAAGAAAATACAAAAGTTTTCCGGATAGTGCTAACCACCCAGCTTGAAAGATGTAGATATGGGAAAATTCATCCATATAAGTTATGTTTTTTGTGCGATTTTAGTAGGTGTATGTATACGAGATGTAAAAGGTATGTACCTATATTCGATTTGTAAAGGATAAACTTGAAAAAATAGTGGTTTAAAACTTTCAATTCATTATTTATTAAAATATATTAGGGATAGCCGTATATTAGTATCTTTATTATAAAGATGTTTTATAGGTATACTTTAAAAAATAAATGGAGACATAAAGTTAAATTCTAATTAATAATTTTCATTACATGTAATTAATTACATTACATTGCAAAAAAAATTCGTCTAGTTGTCTGTGCGTATGTGTGCCGGCACGTTAACTGTAGAAAGAAAGATCCGATTGACTAAGTAAATTAATATCAATGTTCTTAAAATTTTACGCATTACAATCATACCAATATCAGAATCAAATCAGAATAATGCTTGGCTATGCCTGTCAACTGTGAAACCACATATATTTTTTTCCATATTGGTGTCGCTCTTAAATGACAAATTATTTTAAAATGTTTGATCGTCAATTAAAAGAGTGACAAATAGTTAGATATAGGTAATTTAAAAATAATTACACAAATCAATAACTAATATTTTTTTTCTGGTTAATCGGACGACAGTGGCGGCTTGTCTAAATATAAAATGGGTGTTTACTTTCTCCAATAATTTTATCATTTGTAAGTTCGGTTGAAAACTTTGCACAAGAGCAAATATCGCTGTTTATTTTTATTATTTGTATTAAGAGTAGTTATTATTATCATCAATATCATATAGTGCAGGCCATAGTGGCGCATTCGTTTGAAAAATTGTTTCATTTCGTAATTTTTTTTTAAATGTCCGGAAGGCTTTTCTGATTATAAAAGTGTAAGATGACACTCGATATTTGTTGATGTTATTGTTTAAACAACGAAAAATTAGTTAAGCCAGAAAAAATGCATTTTTTGCAATGAATTAATTTTTTTTATATTCTTTAGAATATTTCGAATAAAAAGTCCCTATGCCCATCATCGTATCTTTAACCCTTTAATTGTTATGAATTTTTTAAAATCCGAAATTGACGAAAATTCTAAATTTTTTACCGAATATTCAAACTATAATTAACAAAATAACCTAAATAAATTTTCAAAATTTTGTTCGTTGTTATGTTTTTTTTACGTTATAACAATATGCTTCCTACGCGCGTGTACTTTTAGAGAGAAGTACTTCTATCTCACTTCCAACTCAATGTATAAGATGGGTAAGAGAAAGCCCGATGACGCGCTGAATCAATTTTTTGCTGTTTTTCAGAGGTAATAAGTTTAAAAAATTATTAACATTTTTCATAACACTTTGTTATATTTGCCGATTAATAGTTTTGTATCATGTGATTTTTTTTTTACTTTTTTAGATACGTTTGATAACTTTTTTATTTACTAAAGTTAACAGAAACATTTATTTTTAACTTTTATTTTTATTCATGAAAAAATTATTGTCAGATACTGCCTGAGAAGTAAAATCTTCTTCAACATTTTTTTTTAATACGATAAAAAGGCCAAATGTACTTGTCGTGATCCGTGAAAAATTTCTACCTGTTACAATGAACATAGTAGGCTTACTGGGATCATAAAATTTTATGATTTCAAAATTTCTCCATTTAACAAAAATAAGGAAAACATTTTTTTTTCTAATATTGAGAGTAAGTACTATAAATATAAAAAAAATTTTATGACTTTCAATATTTTGCACTAGGATTTATTTTTTTTAATTTATACTTATAAAGTCCTGTTAACAATTTTTTTTTCTCAAAATATAATTTGATTGGACTACTTCCTGTCGTCATCGAAAAAATAAGGTGCTCTGCTAGTTTGACAAAAAGAATTGATAGAATTTTTCGTTTAAAAAAATTGAGGAAACTAAACAATGGACATGGCATTATTTGAGTTCCTTTTAGGCTAATTCTATAATAATATATAAAAAATCTCTCTTGCCTCTATCGAAAGAATTAGGTGCTCTGCCAGTTTGACAATAGGATTTATAGTTTTTCGTTAAAAATTTTAGAAAACTAAAAATTGGATACAGCATAATTTTGGGCTCATTTTAGCCTAATTCGGTACCGACATAAAACATTTTCTACTTTGACCTTTATCGGAAAAATTAGATACTCTGCCAGCTTCAATACGAGTTTTTTTTGAGTTTTTCGTTAATAAAATTGAGGAATTTAAAAAGAGAGGGTAGGGTGGTCCATCTATTGGTTTTTTTTAATCATATGTTAGGTTGATACTGAAAGCTTTTTCCATTCAAAATCTTGACAAAACGTTAATATAATATCTCCGCCGACCTTTCCAGTTGACTCAGAATTTGAAGGTACACGACCATCCGATACGTTATCGCTTCCCAGTTTGAGCTTTAGAGAAGCTCGAAATTAACAACGATTTTGCTTAAAAAACCATCTTTTCTGACGAGGCGCATTTTCATCTCGGCGGCTTTGTTAGCAATCAAAACTGCCGCTCTGGGAATCGGAAAACCCACACTTGATCGTCGAGAAGCCAATGCATCCTCAGAGAGCGACAGTTTGGTTCGGTTTTTGGAGCGGTGGCATCATTTGTCCATTTTTCTTTGAAAATGCTGCTGGAGACGCCATTTCGGGCAACGGTGTGCACTACAGAGGTATGATAAATGATTTTTTGTGGCCGGAAATTGAAGACATGGATTTGGTAGATCTTCGGTTTCACCAGGAGGGCGCGCCATGCCACACAGCCCATGTCACAATCGATCTTTTGCGCATCCAGTTCGGTAATCGTGTTATCAACCGTCTCGGCGATGTCAATTCGCCACCTCGCATCTGCGATTTAACTCCTTTAGACTTTTTTTGATGGGTACCGTAAAGGACCGATGTTATTCGAACAATCCAATAACAATTCAGACCCTTAAGGTGAATATCGAGCAAGCCATTCGTGAGATAGAGCAAGAAACCGTCACCAATGTCTTAGAAAATTGGGTTAACAGGATGCGCTACTGCGAAGCCAAACGGGGCAGCCACATGAATAAAATCGTGTTTCATAAATAAACCAATAAATATATCTAACGAAATTGATTTTTGTTAATTTTTTTGAATGTTTAAAAAGAAAACACTATATAGACCGCCCTTTAAAAAGGACATAATTTTAGACTTATGTTAGGCTAATTCTATACTAATTTAAAAAAAAATCTGCTCTTGCCTTTCTCGAAAAAATGTTAGGCTCATTTTAGGCTAATTCTTTACTAACATAAAAAAACATGAATATTTAGTAAAGAAAAAATAAACGCAACTATTTCGCGAACGAAATAAATTTGGGTCGATATTTGATCACACGATGTAATTTGAAGACGTGGGTCCACGTGCCCACCGGTGGACAAGAAACAAAAACTGAAATAAACAAAAAAAATATGATCGAAACCTAAAAAGTAAACCGAAGTAGTTAAAAAAACAACAATTTGAATGAAAAAAACTGCTATCAAAGTTTAGTCCCAAGGATCAAACAGTTGATCTCAGGTGGGGCATTAACGGCCTGAATTTCAGCATGAAATAAAGTAGTGTGTTTTCCCAATACGCTTTAAATCCATATGTATACTAAAGAAACTCCTAGGCAAGTATTTTTTTTCTTCTCGACCAGCAAGTCTAAGTAAAGAAACCATTTTTATTTGGACTTAAGAATGTGCAGTTCATTTTTTTTTATATTTCCTGTAGGTAAATCAAACAATTCGTACGAAGGTTTCAATATAATAGAGAAAAATGTCACTATTATTGCGAAAAATGTGTTAAAATTCCACATTCTATTTATATTTTTTTTGATTTTATTCTGCATATTCTCGAATTTTTACTACACAAAACCTTGGACACGGTTGCAATTATACACTTATTACTGCTTTAAATGTTATTTTTCTTTTTAATAATAATAACTTACGTCGGCATATCAGAAAAGAATATATTTCATATATCTAATTTGTTACAATTATACTTAAACATATGTAAAATGGATAAGTTATATAGTTGAATATCTTTAGTAAATAATATTTATATGAATATGAATATTTATATTATTAACACGTAGGTTTGAACAACAGGTGAAGTATTTCAACATAATAAATTGAATATTGAATTGTTTTCGAAATATATCAATTGTCATGAAAATGTTGTTTCCGGTTATTGTTGCAATATGAATAAAAATCTTTCCAAAAAAATTGTTCCTACGTATTTACAATTCAATGCATCGTAAAATAGATGAAAAAGTTATTTTATGTAATGCTAGCGAGAGCAATTTTGTGCACCAAAATTAAAATTTATACTTTACTAAATATTCCTGTCCATACATTCATTCAATATTTTTAGACAATGGGCATGAAAGAACAATTTTTGTAAAATATCTTATACCACTCTGCTTTCATCAGAAAGAAACTTTAAATATCGATTTGAGATCTTGAGGTCCTGAGCCTATGGCCTATTCCTTATTATACAGGGTGTCCCAAAAGCCACTAGGTGATTTAAAAATGTAATAACTTTTGACTTGTTAGGATTTTCAAAATGTTTGTTTCAGATTTGGAAACTAGAAGCTTGGGAGATTTGTTATAGATAAATTCGCCGTTGCCCAAAGAGTCGCTATTGTGGAACTCTATTTTGAATATCATCGATCAATTACAGAAACCCAAAGAGCGTTTTGCAGACTTTTCAATGCATGGAATTCCCCCTTGGGAAATGACTATACGCAATCGAAAACATGTAAATTGCGTATAGTCATTTCCGAGGGAGAATTTATTGCATTGAAAAGTCTGCGAAATGCTTTTTAAGTTTCTGTAACGATCTTTGAGTTTATGTATCAAAAATTCATTCAATGTCATTGACATCAAACAATAAAAATAAACCCCAAAATCTTTAGGGGTCCAAATGTGTGCAAGTTTAAGCTCGAAAGCTAGGGTCATTTAATACAATGTCCAGAGAATTTTAAAAACTGCAAGTGGTGTATTATTAAATCAACCTTGCTACTGGACTCAATAAGCATATGGCAAATTTTGTTTAAAAATTTAAAAATTATTTCTGTTCAGTACTTTA